GCAAATCCCTAAAAAGTGGTAATTATACTCTACATCTGGCCTCTTTGATCAAGTATAAAGTGATTTGGTTAGCTAAGGTCATATGTCAAGAATAGCTCAACAGTAGAGAAAAATGCCTTTCCTTCCTTAAAATTCACATCTTCCCTGTGACCCAAAGGCACTCATGACAATGTGGCGTAGTGGTTAACGTGCCCAGATTAAACGCTGCACTGTCATGATTCGAGTGCCGCTGGAAATGTTAATGAAACTTAGGCAAGGTTGAAAATACAGTCAAATCCAGCCGGGTTGAGAATACCTTTTTGAAAACGAGGCTTTATGAAGTTCAATGGAAACGTAAGGTCCACTCCTATGATTCTGTCAAAATTTGACTACCAGTATTTTATCACCTAAAACGAAATAGATTGATAGTCTCGAAAACCTACGTATAAACGAAAAATAACTATAAGTTATCTGAACTCGTTTTTGCAACTTAGTAATGTTATCCGTAAACACCTGAGCATTCCATACTTGATCGTAGATATGATAATCACTATTGCGTGAGCCTGTTTTGGTCGCAGTTTCCTTCATCTCTGTAGTGTTGATTTGACCGCATTTTCGCAACTTGGTCGTGTTGTCAGTGAGGCCTAGTTGGATGTGGTCATTATAATAATTTCCAGCGTTGGAATGTGGATTTGCCACGTTTCTAGACGATTCACTGGCATCATCACTGAGTTAGAATCGAGCCAAATGAAGTCACTCCCTGAATTTGTCTATTTGACGAGTATGATAAGTACTATAGAAGAGGATTCCGGAGAAGATGCATCCAATTAGGTCCCCTTGACAACACGACCGTGTTGCGAAAACGAAATCGGACCACTTTTGTACATTGAAAGGAGACTGCATTCAAATTAGATGCCATGCCATCTTGATCTTCATATCTACGAAAAATGACTAGTTTATCCATCGTTTTCTTCTCTCTGTACGTCAGATTGCCGCGGGGAGTGTACTGGAGAGTTGCTCGAGGGTGCCAATCGGTTACGCAACGAGCTCGACAATCTCAACCTCACCAGCCTTGCTCAACAGGGTTTGCTTTTCATGCGTCAGCGTACAGATGCGCTCAAAGTGCGTTTCTCTCCTCAAAACGAAGCGACGGAGGCGGCACTTCTCGGCCGCCTTCAACAAATTTCACAGACGGTTAATGGCGCTGTCAGTCAAGATCTATCCCAAATACGCCATAACAGAAGCCGACTTGACGCACTCGCCTGCGCCAACAGCGAGGCCGTCGGTGAGTTGACCAATTCTACCAGAAGTTTGAAAGAGGTACAGCTCGCTTGGCTGCATCGGCTGCGCGGTCTGACCGCCTCTCAGCGGCCTGGCGACTTGGCCAACTGGCTGGAGCAAGCCTGGATGGCGAGAAACAGCATCGAGGCCGTCGTCTTGAACTCCACCGAGTTGTGGACACGCCAGTTGGCAAAGGACAGTCAGACCCTCGAGAGTCAGGCAGAAGAGTTGAATCGGGCCCTTCGGACGCCGATTGAAGGGCCTCTCGATCCTGCTGGGACTGGTCTCACGTCTGGCCTGGACTCGGAACGGTTGGCCTTCTACGCAAGAGAACAGGATCTTCATCTCACCTATCAAGAGGACAAGCTACGCAGGATCCTCAAGCGCCAGAAGGAAACGGTGCAAGATGTCAAAAATGCCCAGGTGTCTGTGACTTTTACTCTGAATTTTGTATCTCTCTCTACACTCTCTTCATTTTTTATTTTACTTTATTATTTTTATTATTTTTTTATGAGTTAGCCTTCAACGATTCTCGGATTAGCGAATATGTGCAAGCATTTTCGATTTGTTGAGTCGATGTCTTCAATGAGGTTGGTAAGCTATTAAGATTGCTAAAGTTAAAGACACTAAGAAGATTACATGAACTACTATGCCGCTAGAGCGATGGGTGGAGATATAGTTGTCTTTAAGTTGATAATCATGTAGATGTATTTGCGACGACCAGGCATACTCGGCTCCATCGTATACTCCAGCTCTCCGGTTGTAAAAGTATCATCCGAGCCGCTGACGACAACAGTCCACTTTGATGTTGGAGTACTTTTCATTTCTTTTGAAGAGGCGAGTGGAAGAGATTCGTAAGTTACTTTCACCGGAGGCTGTGGTCGTAGATTTGTGCGAATAGGTCCTCGATGCACGGCCCTGCCACCGCAATGAATCCTTGCTGAGCTTTGGTCCCGCATGTGACGGAACTTGAGGAGCTATTCGCACAAATCTACAGCCAAAGCTCCAAGGCAACCGCTCACAGCCTTCGGTGGAACCAACTTACGGATCTCTTTCATTGCGCCTCTTCGGACGAAATAAAAGGTAATCTAACATTAAGAGATTCTTCGAAACCCAGTTTTTCGACATAACGGCCCACTTTATGGCCTTGCTCTACTTTGACTCTATTCTTTCGGCGGACGATACGCTTCGTCTGTCCCCTTCTTCACTGGCTAGTGTTGTCGACAAGGAGGGATAGAGATGGCCCCGTTTCTGAGTTGAAATGTCTGGCTGGGTTCTGTACGATGGAAGGCAAAGCCACTTTTTCTTCCATACCACGTTGGCTGAATTTGGAGGTAAGCTGCTCTTCATTTTTCTTTACTTATTTATTTGCTGTAATCACAACTTGCTGCAGTTCTGAGACAGATTTGAGATGGGGGGCAAGATTAAGTGAAATTCAACGGCATCATGAGGCTTACCCATCTGATTGTGGCCGGTTCCTAGATCACTTTAAACGATCCGGGCCGACTTAGTTCTTAATTTAAGAAAAAGACTAAGATGCTTTTAGTAATTTTTTTTGCGATTAACTTCGAAATCCTCGCTCATTATATCGGTTTTGTTACTTTATGGGATACGTTTCCCCTTATTATTTTCATCCTCTAGCCAATTTACTAGACCTGAGCAGTATTGAGATTTAAATCCGTCCCTAAATTCAATTGTATTCACTTCAATTCATTCAAATCTTCTTCTATTTGGAGAGTTGGGAGTATTCATCCAAAGAATGGTCATCCCTACCCTCAAGGTTCACTCACTGGCTCTGC